TCCTCCGCTTGGGTCAAGTCAGGTCTCTTCTCTCCCTCTCTTCCTTCTTCTCCCTATCCAGAGCGAGCGCTGCCGCTGTGCGGAGTGAAAGATGCAAAGTACCTCGTGTGCCTTCTGACGCTGGCTGGGAAGAAGAAAATCAAAGATGTCGGAGCTCTTGCACGACCTCTCTTCTTCTGCTCTGCCTCTCTTTCAACGCAGCAACGTCGTCGTCGACTGGAGCGCAGCAGCGGGCAGCGACCTTGCGTCTGACGAGCGAACCAGCGAGTATCTGAAATCAAGTTCTTAGCAAAGATCGCGCGATGTGAAAGCAAAATGTCATAGAATGCATGATATAGCAGATTTCTCAGATGTGACGAACTCTGAGTTGTGCAAAAACAGGATGTACACTTGTACTGGGAGACTGCGAATCTAGCTGCATGAAGACCAACGGGAAGACAGACACTACGATGGCTAGCTTGGGAAAAAAGCACGCATCCTCTTCAATTCAGATCTTGTCATTGAATCGTGTGAGCGATCATGGTGATGACAACAGTCGAACACAAATATCGTGTTCCTTCATACTCTGTGATTGGAACATGGTGTTAGAATCTCAGAGTAGATCTTGACTTTGTTGTGCAAGCGGAGAGGAAACGTGGGTGAATGCCTCAGTGTGATGATATACTGGATGACGTCACATTGACAAATTAAATTACAATTTCCTTCTTTAATATTCCATTTATCTGGGATGTTTGATCTATTCGAGCAAGTGGACGTATTCTGCCAGAAGAGTAGCACATGCGTAGTCAGCTGTAATAAGAATGTTACGTTTTTTCTTACTTTTGACCCAGAACAGTAGGTTCATACAAAACTGATAAGCTTTTTGGGAATTGACTAACTATGATATCGAAGAACTGGGTACAGAGGATACTGTGTACCATTACTCGAGGTTAGTGCACAGCTCTAGTTCCAGAGTCTGGTGTTCTTTAGGCCTCAAACATGAAACTGAAATCGAATTTCGTCCCTGCTACGATCACTCTTGCTTGTTTATCGTGACGTATACAAGTTGATAGAACCAGCATGAACCAGGAACTTGCTGAGCTCAACGTTAAACCTCTAAAGAAGTTACATTTTTTGAAGTTGCTTGCAAATGAAGAGAAACTGTGCAAAGTACCTCGTGTGCCTTCCGACGCTGGCTGGGAAGAAGAAAATCAAAGATGTCGGAGCTCTTGCACGGCCTCTCTTCTTCTGCTCTGCCTCTCTTTGAACGCAACAACGTCGTCGTCGATGAGCGCAGCAGCGGGCAGCGGACCTTGCGTCTGACGAGCGAACCAGCGAGTATCTGAAATCAAGTTCTTAGCAAAGATCGCGCGATGTGAAAGCAAAATGTCATAGAATGCATGATGTAGCAGATTTCTCAGATGTGACGAGCTCTGAGTTGTGCAAAAACAGGATGTACACTTGTACTGGGAGACTGCGAATCTAGCTACATGAAGACCAACGGGAAGACAGACACTACGATGGCTAGCTTGGGAAAAACGCATGCATCCTCTTCAATCAGATCTTGTCATTGAATCGTTTGAGCGATCAAGGTGATGACAACAGTCGAACACAAAAATCGTGTTCCTTCATAGTCTGTGATTGGAACATGGTGTTAGAATCTCAGAGTAATCTTGACTTTGTTGTGCAAGCGGAGAGGAAACGTGGGTGAATGCCTCAGTGTGATGATGTACTCGATGACGTCACATTGACAAATTAAATTACAATTTCCTTCTTTAATATTCCATTTATCTGGGATGTTTGATCTATTCGAGCAAGTGGACGTATTCTGCCAGAAGAGTAGCACATGCGTAGTCAGCTGTAATAAGGATGTTACGTTTTTTCTTACTTTTGACCCAGAACAGTAGGTTCATACAAAACTGATAAGCTTTTTGGGAATTGACTAACTATGATATCGAAGAACTGGGTACAGAGGATACTGTGTACCATTACTCGAGGTTAGTGCACAGCTCTAGTTCCAGAGTCTGGTGTTCTTTAGGCCTCAAACATGAAACTGAAATCGAATTTCGTCCCTGCTACGATCACTCTTGCTTGTTTATCGTGACGTATACAAGTTGATAGAACCAGCATGAACCAGTAACTTGCTGAGCTCAACGTTAAACCTCTAAAGAAGTTACATTTTTTGAAGTTGCTTGCAAATAAAGAGAAACTGTGCTGTATACATGACTTAAAAAATAATTCTGATGCCAAATGCTAGATAACAGTGATACATGTCTTCAGATGAAGATCTGGTGTAATCGTACATGTAAAGTCAAGTAATTGATATATTTACTGAAATGAAACAAGTCATACTGCCACTTTTGCACTCGTGTGCTCATATCACAAATCCAAACATGTCATATGAAAGAGATAAAACGCATTGCTCATTTGATAAAATAGTTGAAACGTAAGCATTATATTTCATCTCTTTGTCTCTCTTTTTTCTGTTTAAAGCATATTCAGATATAGTTTTGCTGCAAAATGTGATTAAATATCTTTCTATTGGATGCGTAGTCTAATTTGCATATTTATTTGATGATACTTCCCATCTCAAAATGTTTAACTCATAAACAAGATCTAAAGAATTGTTTCAAACAAGACATCATTGTATAACATTGTTCTTACGATTAACATCTGCTTGTATAACATCTGCTTTAGAGATTTTGGTTGTACAATTTTTCAAACTTTTTCAGTTGTTTTTAATATTTGGCGCTTTGACTCTTAGTAACTTTTGAATAGATATATCATCAAAATTGATGCATCAAACATATTTTTCAAGAAAACAACTCTATTTATGAGGTAAAGTGATAGATATTTACAATCTTGTCACTAAAGTTAAAAGAAGAAGGTGATCAAAGTGTCATTAGTCATTTTTAAAGATGTATATCAACAAACCCACACACATCAAAACTTTTGATGCATTTTTTATTCAAGTTGAAACAACTCTGAAAAGATGAAATGTTGATGGAAAAATTTATTTTATATATAGAAATGTTTATCAAAATATAATATAGATTTTATTATCATATCAACATACATTCTACAAATGAAACTATGCATGTAAGTTTTATATCATGGAGTTACTATATATCAAAGATATCCGCATATTGATTCAATCATACAATTTTATCATAGTGTGACAAAAAGAAATTATCAAAAAACTTGATAATTTTCAATCTTTATTTGCTTTTATTTACTGAATGACCTCAATCTGTTTGAAATATCAATAGATTTAGAATTTCCTTAGTTCAAAAGCTTATAGATTTTGTGGACATTATATAAAAAACTGACACCCAGTAAATAGTTTTCAAAATTCCACATACCATTTGAATGATAATCTACATTGAGACTACTGAATGCATTTAGATTTCTTGTGTCTTTCACATTTCTATATTTCTTTCAAATTTTGCCTGAGTTTTAAATCTTTTCAGTTGTTCGTCAAAGTTCTTTTAATTGTTCTTTATAACTGTGACTTTATTTCTTGATAAAACAAAATTTTTCTAACAAATCTTAATCATTATCAAATTATTTTTCTTGAATTCATGTTTTGAAAAAAATCCAGATCATAAATGAATCTTTAAAATTTTTGGTTACTTTTCAAAGAACGTTCTTATGTCTTGATTGTCAACAAATCCTTTTGAAAAAGTATAAATGTGTGTATATTCAGGACATCAAAATAAAAAGAAAATATTTTTTGCAAGTCAAATTTTTGATGATTTATCAAAATTCTGCTAGTTACGATGCCTATGAAACTCATCAGTACTTTCTTAGATATATAAAGTCAAAATCGTATGATTTAAAATAATAACAAATCTTTTGTCCAACAAATAGCATCAAAGCTTTTTGACCCAGATTCCTATACCTAAACATTTTTTTTTTCCCACGGGTTATGTTTGTATTCTTGTATCATCTATTGATAACATAAGAAATTTCAAGATCATTATTTTTTTGATCTCATTGTATAATTTGTAAGTTAAAAAAATAATTGATTCCAAAATTCAAAGGAATATACATTCAATAGGATAAAGGAAAAATTATTTTTCATTCTGTAAGAATAAAAATTATGTATACAATTTTACACATTATTTAATAAATAAAATAAAATAAACCTTTCATAAATTTATTTAAAAAATTATATAAAATTACAAAAAATCAAATGACATGAATTAACTTCAAAATATTTTATTGATTGATAGACTTTTATTAGAATACACAGTTACACTAATCTAGATTGAATTAAAAATATATTTCATGTATAAAAATAAATAATTAGTATGTTCTGAGAATTGTATTTACATTTTCTAATGTATGCATAAAACATATTTATAATGTATGTATACATAGTTTAATATTTTATTTATTACAATAAGAGTACGAATTTCATTTTAAATTATCTAGTTAAATTATTTAATATATTAAAAATTCACTTAGATTTGCAACTCCTTAGTATTGTATGCATTGCGATAGTATGCATGTATAATACTTCTGTCACAAACGAGTTATATCAATTACATACTATCGCAAATCAATGAAAAACTTTTATCATGCTTCACTGCTGGGATTCCATGGTGAATTTTGAATCAAATGCCTCGTGAGTGATTCTTCAAGCTTATCATCTTGTACAAAAGACTCAAGTTGAAGAACGCATTCTAGTTAAATATGCAACATTATCCCCAAAAGTTAGGTATCACATTCATGTAGTTCAACATGTCATGTATGTAATATTTTTCCGAAAAATTGGTTATCACATTCATTCAGTTCAACATGTCATGTATTGTCATGTGGCGAAAGTTTTGAAGATAAGAGTCTTGATTTGTATGATTATTCGCATTCTCTACCTTCCTCCTTGTTGCTTTGTTCTGTTCGTTGATCATAAATTTTGTCAGTTAAAACCTCAGGTTTATTTTAGTTTCGACTTGTGTGTTTCAACGTGTGAGCACACAGAGAAGCAAGATGTTCACCATTCCGACATACAAACAGGAGCGTGTCGCTTCGCTTTATTTTCAACACTTATACAGACATGTTACCTGCCATGTGATTGCTAGTGCCGGTGTCTAAGAACCGGTGACATTCGTTTAGTGATACCGGTCATTAGTGTCGTGGGCGTCACCTCGCGCTTCGTGAGATCTGACACATCAACTGCCGTTGGCATGATCGTTGCCATCAGAGGAGTTGGGCTTTCATCGTTGTTGATCGTGCCTGCTTGTGCAAGAAGTAGTGCCGGTTCCTCCTCGTCAACCTTGGCAAGATTTGCAGGTTGCTCTCCCTTGCATTCAATCCGCGGTGCCCTCCAATTTCTAGACAAATGTCCCAACTTGTTGAAATTGAAACACTTTACTTGCGACATGTCACATTCAGCCTTACCGTCGCGAATGATGCGGTCTTGCGCGCACAAGGTTCAGGTTTAGGATCGCTTTTCGGTACGTTGTTGCCGTCGCTGGAACTCAAACCTTTTCCAAGCTCGTGTTGTCTCCTTCGCGCATCCCACTCTTCCTCAGTGACGAGAAGTCGGATACTTGAGCTTTGAGTGTCCAGATCACATCTCTCCCCATTAGTGCGGAGACGTCCGATAAGGTTCTTCACCGTCATGGCGTTCAGATCGAGCATTGTTTTGATCGAGCATGCCATCTGCAAAGATTGAGGCGGAACAATTCAGAATATCTTTTGGACCACCCTGATTTACTCGACAAGGTCACCTAGGGTACACAGGTTGTTGACGATCTGGATGATTTGGAAGTCGAAGGCGTCAAGCGTTTTGACGTCCTTGAAGGCAATCTGTTTGAACTCCCTGCACAGTCTTTGAGCTGTCGCTTCTCGGCCGCGGTCCACCCGCATACGCATCATCTTGATGGTCTTCCACGTCTCTTTGGCCATCGGCTTGACAACGAGAGTGCCCATCGTCTCCACCGATACGGCCCGTATGAGTGATGAGTGCGGCGAGCATGTCGTCGCGGTCACTAATGTCACCAACACCTTTGATGGTCTCCCACAGACCTTGAGCTCGCAAGTTGATCTTCATCACCAATGTCCAGTCGATGTAATTTGTGGACATTAGGGATGTTGCCGCTCCCTGCGACTAAGTCCCCTTCTCACCCTGCTGCATACGTTGTGATTTCGTGTTCGCGGAGGCGTGCTAGAGCGAGATGGCGCCTCGAAACCACAGGAATCTATCGTTGGTGCCCAGAGACTTCTAATCGTGCTCTGATACCAAATGACAGACCTGGAGGTCAATGGTGATTTAACCCTAAACAAAACACAGCACAATACAACAGAGTTCAACTCGATACCAGACTCCAGTATATGTGTGAAATTGTCTACCTGTGTAGACATGCTCAGATTCTCCAGAACCTTTGCATACAGTATCAAAGTCTGGACTCTCTAGTGCTAAGGCTACTGTATGCCCGCTATAGAAACTACTAAGTTGCTAGAAACTCTAGTCTCTACTCTCCACATTATCCTCTAGAATGAGAAAACTATCTACCTTTTTATACTAAACTTGCGAAGGTACACATCTAGCTCTAATCTCCTTAATCAAACTCCACATTAAGAAAATAAAGAAGCGGAAACCAACACAAGTGTGACAACGCAAAGAATCATTAGATAAAGTTTATGGTTTAGTGTGTGTTTGAGCGTGTTAGCACACACACAGGTAAGGTGGCAGCACCTTCTGCTCGTCACGCTTGTGTCGGTTCTCGCTTTTCTATTTATGTGGTTTGGAGCATGAATAAGGAGGTTAGAGCTAGAAGTGTACCATGGCAAGTTTAGTATAGAAACGCAAGCAGTTTTCTCATTCTGCAGGCTAGTGCAGAGAGTATAGACTAGAGGAGACTGCGGGCTTTGATGAGGTACTGGAGATGCATGTGTTGAGTGATTTTGGTGAATCTGAGCATGTCTACACATGCGGACAATTTCACAGTCTGTTGAGTCACCGTTGAGCTCAGCTGCAGGGCTGTCAAGGTTCAGGTGAATCTAAAGTTTATAAGAACAATTGAGGACAGGTTACGCTCATCACAATGTAGGAAAGTACTCAAGACTTGGTGCAATTATTTCAACTTTACTTCAAAACTTCTCAATGGATCCGTAAGAAGTCCAATAAACTGTACAACATCTATTCCAAACTCTACATATCAACACATCTTCTAGATCTAAGTCATTCGTGTGATCTTGGCGCTGGTTTCTGGCCAAACTGCAACACAATCTCCGGTCCGATAAACTTGGGATTCACTCGGCATCTGGGCACCTGCAATTGTACATACATCCAAGGCTTAGAATGACTGCGACTGAAGACTGTCAATTTATGTTTGACTGCCCAGCCATCAAGTTCATAGCTGAAAAGCGACTAGGCTGGATGCGTTCGTGCAACCTTTGAACCTGACTCAAGTCCGGAGACGTGGAAGATGAGGACTTCATGCATGGATGGAGTTTTCTGAAGCTGATGCACTGGGAGGAAGCTTACACGCAGTCAGTGTCTCCACAAATGGGGCAGCTGGGAGGAGGATTTTCGCAACTCGTTTCTCTCTCTGCACAACTGCAGGCATGGGGATCGTTCACGTTGCTCAGTCTGTGCGCACGCATGCTGACGTCTACTGACACTCTGCAAGCGTGACAGTGCTCCTAAAACACATCGATGACCAAATTCCATGCGTCGCTAGGTTTCCTACTTCTGAAACAAATACAGTCGAAAAGGCGAGATTAAAGGCAGATGTCATGCTACGAACTCCAAGCCTCGAGAGCTTTTTGTAACATCTGCATTCATGGCCGGGAGGTCTTACACGCAGTCAGTGTCAGCGCAGATAGGACACCTCGTGGGAGTCTTGCCAGCAGTGATTGTGTCCAAGTCGAAGGAGCTTGAGATTCAGTACAATGCGATGTTTCAGGCAGCAGCTCAGAACTTTGGACGTTCAAATCTGCAGCACGACGGTGAAGAGGCTTCCCCGAGGTTTCGATATGCTGAGCTACGAGCTGCAGAGAAACTGGAATATGACGCACACCGACAGATCAAATCAAATCCTCTGCTTCGATTTGTGATTTAGCCTCTGCTCCGCTGCCCGTTTTATACGCAGTGCATTGTGATTTTGGCGGTTTTGCTCCGAGCCGTGTGAACATTGAAAGGAATCGTCGAGCTCACTGTGCGTGTTTGGATCAGCGATTGCTTTGACTTCCGGTAGCCAGCACTCACGTGGATGGTCTTCCAACACGGGTCAACACGAGCGACATGGCTCTGAAGCCCTCAACTGATCCTCATATTCAGAAGCAGCCATCGAAGGTGCAATTTTGGCCTGTGTGAACGTCATTCATAGCACTGACAACTGTCCTCGAGACCATTATCACAGATTCAGAGCAGAGAACACCAGCCGCCACAGCAAACACGACGGACCTTGCATAGATATGCGGTTGAGTACGCATGAGTCGAGTGGAAGCCAGTGAACAGCACATTCCTACTGCGGCTGCTCATGTCCGTTGCAACCTCGAAGGTCGTAACGATCGTCTGCAATCCCAGCTTCGGGGATTGAACAGGTTTGATAGATTCGGACACGATGGTCAGAATCATGATCAGATTCATGCGGGGTGGAAGTGACCTCAGTCTGTCGCTCATTCCTTTGTCGCTCAGACCGATTTCGTCCTGAGCTTATGGCCAATGTGTCTATTAATATGTGCGCTCTTTCGTCATTTTGCTTCTTTGTTAGATACTGTGGGTGCTCTCTGGGTGGTAACAGCAAAAGCATCTCAGGTGATGTCCGACATTGCTTCATGTGCCTTTCAAGTGCCTTTCACTTTGTTCCCAGGAGGAAAATGAGCACTTCGATTCGTATCGTGATCACCAGCAGACAATGGACAGTGAATTTGTGTGCAGTAAGTCAGTAAGACCCAATGCCTCTTACTCATTCGGAGAGAAGCACATAATCCTAGTTTGTAGCAGGTCCCCGCACTCTGGACGGACAATCGCATAAGCTACTTGATGATTGATTCCTTTAACCTTGAACATTTACTCGGCACCTAGTCGAGTTTTGGAGCTATTTCGCTCGATAAGTCCGTGTTGACTTATATAAAGGAAGTTCACGTCTTCCTTTCCTGGAAATGTGTGAAATGTTCGCTCCAAAGCTCGAACAGTATGCAGGAGCTAACTGCGTCCCCTGACTTTGACGTTCACCTGGCCAAGCAGCGTACGTATATATACGCGAACAGAGTGCACATCTTTCTAAAAAGCACCTCTGCAAGTCTGAGAGCCATCCCCTTTAGTGCTCTGAGAAAGCTGATGGAACTCGATCAATTTTTCTGGTAAGAATTAGCTTTTCGAGTGATCAAATCGGTGGAGACTTGGAAGGTATCAGCCTCCTTCAGATCACTTCCCCTTCAGATCGACTAAGCAGGTCTCTAACTCCATCATGGCTCGTGAGAACTCTTGCAAAATACGCTCCGCATGCAACGACACCGACTGCGACGTCTGAGACCTCTTTTGTCCCAAATATCTGCGCTTCTCGTCTATGATAACCACATAAAACACGACAGACCTGATAATTGAATTGCTAAGGGGCCGTTTCTGATTTTGTTATCTTAGCCATTTGAATTTTGTTTGGCTCTTGGGATATCACATTGTCGCAGACGAGTTCAGAATCTGAAGATTGAGGATTTTCTATTGCAGATACCCAGCGAGCGAAACATGCTGCAAAAACTTCCTCCTCCCAGCTGCCCCTTATGCAGAGAGAGACACAGACTGCGTGTGAGGACCTTGCTGGCGAATGATTCAATGGACAGATCTCCCTCACGTTTTATGACAGAACGCTGAAGTTTATAGTTCTACTGATTTACCTTAACGACGTAAAGTCTGGTGCTTTCAAGCAGACGACAAATGTAGTAATTCAGTTCGCTCTGGTAAGCATTCTTCTTCTAGAGAATATGGTAGGAGACTATTCGGGTCAATCCGTGAATTCTTATTGCTTTCGACTCAATTAATGCAATTTGAGGATTCGTGATGAATCTAATATGAGTCCACGGGTACCATAAGACACAGCTAGTACCAGGAAGATGTTCAAGACGAGATGTACTGCAGTTGTGTCTGACGCCTTGTATTCTCAGATACTCGCACTTCCATCAACCCCGACGACGAATGAATGCTCACAACGAGGCGAACCAGAAAATCATAACACCCGTCCATCGTTAGTTTGACGCTCTCGGTCATTCGGGTACATTTTGCTGCTCGGACCTCAGAAGCCTCTCCTTTAAAGACAATAGATATCGTGGTGGATGTACGTATTTCAGGCTTATTCTACTCTATCCTTCTGTTCCCAGATATCTTGTGAAGACCAACTACAACTTTGTGTCCATGTGGAATCATCACTTGTCTCGACTGGATCAAGCAGAGTGAGGTTGCTCCACAAATGAAGACCAGTTTCTATATTACAAAGAAAGGAAGTAATCGAATGCGAATTGATCGACACTCTCGTGGGAGTTTCACGACAAGGAGCTCGTGTCACTTTGTCAATTTTCACAATATACACAACAGTTCATATAGAGTTGCTCAGAAGGGTGATCGACAGGAGGACTGGGAAAATGAAAGTGGCTCGTCAGATCCTACAAGCATGCTCATGCCAATCGTTACATTTCCTGTCGTTGTTCTCAATGCCGTCCATAAACACAGACAAAATCAGCTCCAATTATGCGATCACTACGTACACTCTCGATGGTTAGAACAACAGAAGCAGGTCCACGTGAATCGAGAATGCTGTGAGTTTAGGAAAAATGAATTAGGTCCTAAATGTGTAGAAAATTGCTGCCGCAGTTTTAGAAGAACCTTCCCTGAACAACAACTCTTCAAGCCCACGTAACTCTAATTCCGTGCATGACAGACATGAGAACATCACGTTGCAACGCTCTCCAGCTACCGCAGAGACATGTACACACCGTCGTCGTCGATCACTCGATCGATCGAAGGAAAAATCCGAGGAGCAGCGGCATGGAAAGAACCCAAGCATGCTGTCGTTTATACGTCTTCCCCTCCCCTGCCCTGCAACATCGTACGTAAATGGACGGGGGGAACAGCAAGCGGTACATGATGATCCGACTCATCCGACCGGTGCCGTTTAGCATCTGGGCAGCGGGGCCAGTGACGGGGAACCACGTAGGCGAAGGGGGGTGGGGTTGGGGCAGGGGCAACGCGGTTCCCGAAAGTTTCGATCAGTTTTCGCCTGGGGGCTCGACGAGGCGAGACACGAAGGCGCCTCTGCGCAAGAGGAGCAACGATGCCGATGCCTCGAGGCCGACACTGCTGGAGCGCGCGGGAGGCCATAGCCAGGGGCAAGAAGCCCCCGGCGGACCCCGCGGGGCAGGGGCAGGGGCAGGGCTTAGCTCCGCTGCGCTTCGCTTCGAGGGGCGATGGCGCGCGCAGGCAGAAGAGCGTGCAGGATCTGGAGCGCGGGTGGGACAGCAGCTGCGCGCCCGAGCCCGGGACCCAGCCGCGCTCGCCCCCGTACGGCTTTCGGGACCGGTGGTTCCGCACCGACGCCCCGCGGCCGCGGCCGCGGGCGGAATCGGCCAAGAGGGGCAATTCGTCGGGGGCTCGAGCCCAGCAGCTCGACCGGATCTACGGCAAGCGCTCCGCAGCCCCGGGCGGCGGGGGCAAATTGCCCCTCGATCCCCGGGGGGCTTCGCGCAGGCGAGATGGCGACAGCAAGCCCCGCTCGCTGCCGGGGTTGTCGTTGGCGCAATTGCTCGAGCGATCGCAGAGCCCGAGCCCTGGCGATGGCGATGGCGATGGCTGCAATTCGGGCAAGACCACGGCCAGATCCGATCGGTACCTGGACGGCGTGTGGGTGAGGAGCCCCCGAGGGCCAGGGGCCGAGGTGCAATCGTCGCTGACGGCGAGGGCGTTTGGAGAATTCGACGATTTCTCGAGGTCCGAGCACGAGAGGGATTTCGAGGCCGACTCGGGCTGGATGGGATCGAGCACGAGAAGCCCCCGCCGCGAGACTGTGCCCAGAGCCAAGACTGCCGATGACGTCGTCGCGCACGAGATCGACGATCCGTTCCGCGAGAGCAGCTGGCTTCGGGCTTTTCAAGATGGCCAGCGGAGGGAGAGGGAAATGTATGGGCTCCGTCGTTTCTCCACGGTCGATTTCCTCGGTCGGAGCGTGCCCAAAGTTGCCGATGATTTGTCGTGGGCAGCGAATTGTCGAGCGAAACTCAAGCCTCAAGTGATCGCATGAGCATCGTCGCAAGGTTCGATTCGCCGCAGGCCGAGAAGAATCACCATCTCGGCCCCGGATCTTTCTCCCTTCAGAAACCATGCACAGAATAATAATGCTCCGACGCATGCACATTGTTCACGTCCAGGAATAAATCCAAGAAGCAAAAGTGAATAAGGAAAACTGACACAAGGCTCCGGATTCCTTGAGATCGCGATCCGCACATCTTTTTCGACGAGGAAGGTTCCGCTGCAGTATCCGGTGGCAACCGAGCGAGAGCCAGGAAGGAAAATTCAAGACGAGTTTGCGAGGGCGACGCGCGAAAGCAAATGGGGACATCGTGAAGAACCCCAATCGCTCGCCAAACGAGCCAGCAATCGATCACCCGAAACTCAAGGTGATGAGGGTTGTTTAGTTATGAACGTGAATTTTAGTTTCTGATAGTTTCTATATCTCAATCAATTCTGTCCTGCGTCGAATTCGACCTGCAAATCGAACGAGAGCAGACCTCACGCCGTAAATTTCACATCGGACGATAATGTTCGTCCTCGATTGCCAGCTCCGGAGAAGTTACGAAATAATTCCAAGAGTCCTACTTAGGGTTACAATCTGAGGACCAAATCAACAACAGGTCAGTTCGCAGAGTTTTCTTTGAGGCGAAAACGACATGGACCTCGTCCTATCGCAGTGGGATAAGGGTTACGACCACTGGCTGCATGTCAGATTAGAAATTGAGCACGTCACGTGGTGAGAGAGTAGAACCTGTAAAAGAAGACCATGCAGAGAAAGAGTGAATTTCGAGAATGGGGTTCTTCTCTGCAAGTCTGCATCCGTCCCTCGAGCATGATCCAGCCACATGATCCAGCACATTAGAGGAGATCGAATCGAACAAACTCGCCTTCGACTACATCGGAGCTGACTCTCTTGTGGAGAAGAGGGTGATTCGAACACCTTCGTTTCCGAGTCGAAGTCAAGTCGACGGTGAATTCATCTGGAGGCCAGAATTCGAGGAGGGTAACGAGACAAACATGTGTGCGCGGTGCACAAAGTCTCCCAAAGTATGGAACTTCCACTTCGTTCTCGAGTTCAGCCGGCTTGCATTGACCTCTATGGGCCTCACTCAGTCTGCAGAATGTCGAATCGAAGCCATCACGATTGTGGCATTTTTAAACGCTTGTAACAATCTCGGACCCTGAAAGATGGCCCAACCGCTTTTCGGTTCAGAGGACAGTGACGCACTACTACCTCCGCAATGATCCATGGTTTGATTCGTTGTGAAATTATTGATCAGAAGAAGAGACCAGCCGTGAATTATTAGTTGTCAGTTTCTTCGAGGAACAGGCCCGTATCGCCATCATCACTCGACATCATATGATTGTGATGACTTCTGACTAGAAGCTTTCATTCTACAGCAGAGGAAAACGACAACTTTCCCGACAGATCTGCATACAATTCCTCGTCAAGGACACGGAATCTATTTGCGGGAATCAGGTACGCCAAAGAAAGTCCCCAAAAGTTGGGATCTGCCTCAAAGGACTGAGCTCGGGAGCAAACGAGACGTCCTCAGCTGCTGCACATGTCACCTGTGCAGCTGTGGAATGCGATGGATGACAAGTGAGCAGTTCCGGGCTCTAGCATGTGCACCAGCCACGTGGCTTGTAGACCCCAGTAGGTGGTCGGGAGGAAGGAAGTTTCTAGAGCCGACGACTGCATTGACATCGTGACCTCGCAGATCATTGTGCAAGTAGTGGACATGTGCATTGCGATTTCCCCACGGTTGAAAGCTTGTGTTGTACATGCATGCAGAGCCTGCAATTTCTAATCAGAGTCATAGTCGTCAACGAGCTTGTCAAATTGCCCCAATCTATTTCACATAATTGGGAACAGACAGCACTGAATGAACTCCTCTCTGACTGGAATCTGACGCTGAGATTGGCCCGTCACGCGAGCCACGAGGTTGATTTTATGGAGAACGGCATGTCTCGAAAAATCGATATACTCAAATCGATGTATGAGACGAGGGAGTTTACAGAGCGCGTGAATTGCAGTTTCTGTTGCAGGCGGACGAAATGGACAGAGAGGAAGTGCATGAGGTTGTTGGTTGGAATCATGGAGCAGAGGAACAATCCGCACAGAGGAGATGACCATGTGGTCCCTCGAACGATCCATCACGGCCACATAGAAAAAGAGAAACATCTGACGAATCATTCGATTAGTCCCGCAACAGTTTCACAAATAGAAATTCACAATGAACACAACGAACACTTGCTGCCGAACTGCTCGATGTTTGAAAATGCATGGCAGCAGTTCAAGTTCAGCCTGCAGAGACCATGAATGCAGCATCTGTCATTCCAAACGAAAAGGACAGAAACACAGAAACACGCGACGATATGCTAAGACCCCACGAAAAACAGAGGAAAGGAAAAAGTCTCTCTGAATTTTATTTCTGAATGAGTATAATTATTATTCGACTGATCAGTGATTCTCTTTGTACAAGGACATCTGAAAATTGCGGAGATCCTGAAATACTCAACCCCTTAAGACGGTAGAGGAGTTTCCCGTACGAACGATGGTGACATAGACCCAATTAATGGCAACTGGAAGGGCTGTCTAGACACGACAATAATCTTCGAAAGAATAAAACAACAAAACGTAAACTACTTGCATATACGAAAGCCCCTCGTCACGTTGAATCGCCGACAAAATATGAGCCGCAAGACTCAGCTCGAACGCTTTGACCGTGGCTCGGATTCCTTCGACCACCACCACCACATTCCACATCGACCTCGCCATCCATCCATCCATCGCACAGCCAAAGCTTCCAGCTGATTCGGAGATTTCGCTCGTGCAAAAGTCGGCCGATCGAGTTGACAATCGAGGCTCATGGAAGGAAGGACGTCCTAACGCTGTCCTCGTCCTAAGCCCCCTCTCTCTCTCTCTCTCTCTCTCTCTCTCTCTCTCTCTGACAGTCTCTGTGTCAGTGCTCATACCACGTGCTCTTCCTGGTGGGTTTCGATGACACAATCGGACTTTGGGTAAGAAATGCATGTCAGCAGGTATCCCTTGGCAATCTGCTCGTCGTCGAGAAAAGATCCATCGCTTTGGTCGACTTCACCCGAGAGGACTTTACCGGCGCAAGAGCAGCAAGCCCCGGCACGGCAAGAGTAGGGCAACTCGGCTCCGGCAGATTCCGCGGCGTCCAAGATGTACGTGTCCTCCTCGCACTCGAAAACCTTCTCGCCCGACGGAGTCTTCAGAGTGATGGTGTACGCGGTGGAGCACGTCAGGCGGCTCTTCGCGGCCTTCAATCCGAAGGCGTGCCCGACGGATCGTGCCCTGAAGGACACGCTCGTCGTCCTCAAATTTCTTCCGGCTCCTGCAGCTGCTGGGCTCGAGGTCGCCAGTCCCCCGAAAGCCGTGGCCGCCGCCACTGTCGTCGACACCGCCGAAGCCATTTTCCTGTCGAGCGATCGAGCACCAATCCAAAGCCCGAGCGAGCGAGCGAGCGATCGATCGAGCGAGGATCTGCCCCGATGAGCTCGAGCGAGCGAGAGAGAGCGCGCGCAGGAGGCAGGAGGCAGGGGGCAGGGGAGGGGAGGGGATCAACAAGCACCTCGAGGGGGGCTGCTACGATGGATCGATCGACTTGCAGAGCCCCAGGGCGGGGTAGAAGAAGAGAAGCGCTAGCGCCAGCGCCGGCAGGAGCCAGGTTCAAATCCCCGCTGCTACGAGCCGACGCCGAACGGGATTCCGAAAAGCCCCGAAATTGCCCCCTCAGCCCGAAGGTGCCCAAGCCCCAGCCGGTAGTAGGCGGTTAATGCGGCCCTCGCGCAAGCTCAAGCCCTCGCTGAAGCCTCCAAGCCCAAGCCCCAGCCGGTCGTCGGCGGTAAAGGTCGCCCTGTCACGTCAGCCGCGTAGACAAGCCCCCACGTCGCTCACACGTCAGCCGCGAGGGGAACCCTCCCCGCTGCCCCGTCAGAGTGCGCGTGCGTCGGTCGCATCGGCATCCGCTTCGCGATTTTGCCCCCGCGGCTACTCACAAATCGCGAACGTTCAGTTTCTGGAGAGCGCGATGACGCGACCGAAGCTGCCTTTGCACACGAGGCGAGAGTGACAGAGTCTTCTCCAGCCACCTTTCAGGAATAGAAGCGAGCACGAAGACCTCGTCCCGACCAATTCAATGCCTGCTCAGCTAATCGCCCGATCGATCCCATTCTGTCCGAGCTACTCACTTCCAATCATAGCACACTTCGGTTGCAGAGGTCCACGCGACCGTCACCCGGAATGTGGAGACGGTGTTGAATTGTTGGCGTTCGATCTCGACCTTCTGCACACGCGATCGATATCTGATTCGAATTCCCAAATTCTAAATTTCGTTGCTGAAGAATAATGTTGCCATGCCAGCACGTAGCTCTTCTTCAAACCTTGTGTGCTCGCTCACTCTCTCAAACACTCAAATTCTGGTTGGAGACACACCACCTTCGCCTCCTCCCATCGAATTAATTTCGCCTTATTTTGCTTTTATTCTCTGCTTTTGCCCGTCCAATGTGTCATCGCTGTTTGTCATCCTTCCAGTTTTGCGCTTGAATTCGAAGCTCATGTTTGCTCCTCTCATGATGTGCACACTCTCCGAGGACTTCATTCATCTTTCTCCTCTTTGCTCTCCACACTCGGTGATCCTGTTCTTGAGTGTAGTGTCGGAGTGTGGGCTAGCATTACACAAGCATGTTTATTGACTTTGACTTGACATTGTTCTACTAAGAATGCCATGTATATATATATCGTTGACAACTATCAGAAGAGTACAGACTTTACACGCCATTATATATATATTTATTTATTTATTTCGTAATTAAAACAAAGTCATTCAAAACATCCAGATCTATAACTCTTTCAACACCATAACGTTTAAATTATAAATAACTAATAATTCAAGCACTCTCTATATTCTGAACAATCCAAGTTGCTGTTTGTGGTACCCCACTTTTGGCAATTTTGAGAAAATTAAAACATTTTTGGAAAACTGTACCCTGGCAGCATTGTAAATAGCCTTCGGTACATCAAAACATAGTGAATCCGGAAGATCGCGGGGATTCTCGAGGGATCTTGTAGAATCTGGGATTTGGGGTGCCGCAGTAAGGACAGGCACCACCCTCCCTGCGAGCTCTGCAGTTAGGATCTCTACGGCGCAAGGCGCAAAACCCGCCTTCGGAGGTTGCGTCCGCGGCTGTAGGGAAACCCCCCGTAATTAGGTCAACCCTCGGGCGCCTTGACCAAGTTAGGGTCCCGTTGAAAAGAGCTCGACGCACTGATTCCAACGAGCCCAAGAACGCTTGGAACGGATGAGGACTTAGGAAGTTATCGCTATTGGAAGAAACGGAGGCGGTCGCCTACGGCGGAAGGAGTTCGCCACCGGCGCGAATTCCGCCTACGCGGAAGGGGGAATCAAGTTTTGTCCTATGCGCGGACGAAGGCGTTCGCCTGTGCACAGGCGAAGTAGGGTTAGGGGAGGCGCGAAGTCCGCCTACGCACGGGCGCTCGCCTGTGCACAGGCGCTTCGGCGTCGGCGGAAAATCCGCCTTGGGCCCTAGAAATGCGCCTTGTGAGGTAGAAAGTGTACGGCGCCTTTCGCGCCAGCGCGGCGCCGCGTACGTCGGAAGAGCCGCCAGAGTAATCAAATCGGTACGGACCATGCGGACGGGAAGGGTGGATGCGCTCTTGGACGGGCGGAGTTGCGGCGGCGGAAGCGCCGACGAAGAGACAAGGAACGGACAGACTGGACGGAGACGGCTGACCACGGTCAACGCCTTCCGCGCCAGCGCGGCGTAGCGCACGGAATTCGCCTGCGCACAGGCGAACGCCTGTGCACAGGAGGATGAAGTTCCGCACCGGCGGAGAATCCGCCGAGGCTCCTGCCTGCGCACAGGCAGGAGTCAAACTTTTGTCCGACATGCGGACACACGCGTCAAGGCAGAGGGGGATTGGCCGAGGGGCGGTACGAACAAGTGTACCGCGCAAGGTGGAAAACTCGCCTTCGGCGTTACGCCCCCATGTCCGCAGGGTAACACGCTCGCGGAGTTCAAATCTGCCAATTCGAGCGTGAGAGTTTAATCGACGACGGCGGAGCGTGAAGCCGCGCGTGAAAGCGAAGACCGTTCCAGCGTACAGCCGGCGCGGCCATCAAGTGAGACGTTCTTCACGACCCAGAGCCGACCATGACCTTCGACCGGGCGGCGGAGAACGTCCCATTCTTGAATTCGCGATTCCAATCTCTTGTGCGCGCTGCGCGCATCCATCTGCGGGCTGCGGAACATTCTCGACGTCGTCGCACAGGAGATTTCTTGTTGATTGAGGGAGAAGTGAATGCGCGTGATTTGGAATTGAGGGCGATTAGAGTTTGCCGAGAGAGAAAGAAACCCGGGCGGTGCGGAAGTAGAATGAGCGGGCGAGCGAACCCCAGGAACGCAATGACGAGACCGAGCAGATTGCGGATGGTGCCACTTCGCCTACCGCAGAACGGGCTGCGCGCTTTTGAGGAGCGCTTAATAGCAAGAAAGCTCGATTTCTTGCTATGGGGATGGAATTACATCTGTGCGAATATGGTGCGCGAGTGGCTAGAGCCACAGGGACCACCCTCGCGCGGATTGCGTCCGCATGTTGACCGGTGGACAGTCCAAGATTGGGCGCAGGCGTTGGGAAGATGTGCTGGCATGCCAGGGCATCTCCTTTTCGACAGTGAGAGCATCAAGGTGACCAAGCAAGAAGAGGCGCAATTTGTGGAGCTGTTCAAGACCGGGAGGTCTACCAAGAATGGGTACAGGACCCGTGATTACAAGGATCGATTTCGCCGGACTTTGTCCGCGGCGCTGATGCAATTACTGCAGCCGCACCGCGCCTGCTACATCACATTGTGGCAGGTCTCTTTTGTGGAGTGCGTCATCGAGGGAACTCCAATTCACTGGGCGAGCATCTTGCACAGGGTGATGCGACAGCACGCGTTTGAGGAGAAGGGGGGAACTCTAAACCATCTTTCTCCTTTCCTCATCAATTTTTATCGACAGCGGAATTGTTTGACAGCGGCGGAGCTTGAACATTTTCCGCCATTGTCCATCGACCATCCCGGGAAGTATGTGCGGGAGAACGAGGTCGACACTGATGCAGAGGAGTCACCGACTTCTACCCCATCAAGACGGAGGGACGAAGGGAGACACACTCCTGCAGCACGAGTGCCGCGGAAGCGGCGATGGAGGAAAGAGTCCGAAGAGGAGCAGCATCAAGAACCCTCTGCTCCCATTCGACCGCGGCCGCTGTGCGAGCCATACAGCCGGCCGAAGCAGAAGGCACGCAGACTGGTGTTACCAGCTGACAGTGCGGACACGGCGACAATTGCGACGGAGATAGGAAGTGCGTCGCCAGAGAGGCAGGAGGAAGCGCGGACGACCGCAGGAGCAACGGGCCACGCTGCAACCTCGACGGGAGAAAGGCCGCCTACGGGCCAAGGGCCTCCGGAGTTACCACGTGCGATGCGGACAGATGTTCCGTTTGCGCACAGACGAGCCTCCGCGGACGGACGAGCCTCCGCGGACAGGCGAACACAAGTGGACGTGGATCTACGCTTACGCGTGGGAAGGAGCAGTCCGCCTGTGCACAGGTCGCCTGTGCACAGGACACCTCCACACGTGCCGCCTGTGCACAGGCAAGAATCACCCCCGTTCCAACGTAGGAAGGGGAAGGAGCCGGCGGAAGAACCGCCTACGAGACACCGGCCCTCGGGGCCAGACCCTCCGGCGCACCACGCGCCGCAATTTGCGCCTTCGGCGCCAGGGCCTTCGAGCCGAGGAGATACGAGCAGAGAGCGTGCGGAGGCCGCACCATCGGCGGGAAGTCCGCCGATAGATGCGCCTTCGGCGGTAGGGCCTATAGGCCAAGGAACATCCGGCGTGCGGTCCCCGGCCATGTCGCCTTCGGCGATAGATATCCGCGGCGCTACGCCTGCGGCGGACAAGGCGCCGGCAAATGCGCCTGCGCACGGGCCGGGCACAGCCCCCACGGACCGATCCAGGGAGCAGCAGACGGAGGAGCGGAGTGACTGTCCGCGGGATGAAATTTCGATGCGCGATGCGCAATCAAACCCCGCGCAGTCACCCTCCACTCGATCGCCTTCGGCGGCGGGCGACGGCGACAGAGAGAACGCGGTAGACCACCACCAAGCGAGCGACGGGGATGCCGCACGGGTACATTCGCCTTCCGCCTTAGACATTTTGGCGACGAGCAGCGAGGCTGCAGCCGTGCCTTCGCAGGCAGCACACGTCGATGACGTGCAGCCCCACTCGGGGCAGTCGCCGACGCAATCAATGGCGACTGAAATTCTCCACTCGGATGATGACGACGGAGGCTCCACGGAAGAAATGTCAGGAGCAGAAGACACCGAGGAGGAGGAGGAGGAAATTGTTGGAGCGCCGGCGGCGGCGCTCTCTGAGCAGGTGATTCCGTTGCTGCGGTACTTGGATCGCAAGGTCGATAAATACGCCGACCCACTCCAGCCGGGATCTTACATTGAGTTAGTGCGCAGGCGGACTCGCACTAAAGTCCACACCAGCAAGCTATTAGCTAGAGTGGACCAGGAGTTGAAGGAATTGAAGGAGAAGCATGCGTGCTTGTGGGGTCAGTACAAGCTTAATCAGA